TGATTCACGTGAATGTAACATGATACACGTGAATGTAACATGTTACACGTGTATGTAACATGTTACATTCACGTGTAACATGTTACACGTGTATGTAACATGTTACACGTGTATGTAACATGATACACGTGTATGTAACATGTTACATGTGTATGTAACATGATTCACGTGAATGTAACATGATACACGTGAATGTAACATGTTACACGTGTATGTAACATGTTACATTCACGTGTATCATGTTACACGTGAATGTAACATGTTACACGTGTATGTAACATGTTACATTCACGTGTATCATGTTACACATGAATGTAACATGATACACGTGAATGTAACATGATACACGTGAATGTAACATGTTACACGTGTATGTAACATGTTACACGTGTATGTAACATGTTACATTCACGTGTATCATGTTACATACACGTGTATGTAACATGTTACATTCACGTGTATGTAACATGTTACATTCACGTGTAACATGTTACACGTGTATGTAACATGTTACATTCACGTGTAACATGTTACATGTGTATGTAACATGATACACGTGTATGTAACATGATACACGTGAATGTAGCATGATACACGTGAATGTAGCATGATACACATGTAACATGATACACGTGTATGTAACATGATACGCGTGAATGTAGCATGATACGCGTGTATGTAACATGATACGCGTGAATGTAGCATGATACGCGTGAATGTAACATGATACACGTGTATGTAACATGATACGCGTGAATGTAGCATGATACGCGTGAATGTAACATGATACACGTGTATGTAACATGATACGCGTGAATGTAGCATGATACGCGTGTATGTAACATGATACACGTGTATGTAACATGTTACATTCACGTGTATCATGTTACATACACGTGTATGTAACATGTTACATTCACGTGTAACATGTTACATGTGTATGTAACATGATACACGTGTATGTAACATGATACATGTGAATGTAGCATGATACACATGTATGTAACATGATACACGTGTATGTAACATGATACACGTGTATGTAACATGATACACGTGAATGTAGCATGATACACGTGTATGTAACATGATACACGTGTATGTAACATGATACGCGTGAATGTAACATGATACACGTGTATGTAACATGATACACGTGTATGTAACATGATACACGTGTATGTAACATGATACACGTGAATGTAGCATGATACACG